CGAGCGCAGGTTCTCGCACCACATCTACTACGACCGCCACTCGAGCTTCGTCGAGCACCTGGGCCAGTGGTACTTCTATTCGAACGACTACTCGCACAGCGACGCGCCCACGGGCGGCTTCCGCGACACGGTGGCGGCCTTTGTGCACTACCGCGACGACGGCACGATCGCGCCCGTCGAGATCACCGCGGCCGGCGTCGGGCCCCGCGACGCGCGCGCGCCGCTGCCCGCGGAGCAGTACCACCGCGTCGACGGCGCGCGCACGACCCAGGGCGGCTCGACGACGGGCTTCGTCGTCGGCGACGTCGCGGACGGGGCCGCCGTCGCCTACCGCGTCGACCGCGCGAGCCTCGGCGGCAGCGTCGCGCTCAACCTGACCTTCGCGAACGGCGGCGAGTGCGCGGGCGCCGCGACGCTCGCGGTCGCGGGGACGCCGCTCGCGACCTGCGCCCTCGCGCCCACGGGCGCCTGGGACATGTACGCGACCGTCGCCTGCGGCGCGGCCCTCGGCGCCGCGGCCCTCGCGGCGCCGGCGTCCGCGGACGGCGCCGTCGACGTCGCCGTGTCCTTCGCCGGCTGCGGCGGCGCGGCCTTCGCCAAGCTCGACACGCTCACCTTCGCGTGAGCACCCCCGCCGCGCCGGCGCACCCCCGGGAGGCTCGATTTGAAATCGACCCCCCCAGGCGCGTCAGTTCCGGGCCCCGCGGCTCCTGGGACGCACCCCACCGGTAGGGCGCGACCCCCGGGGGTCTGAGGAGTCGCTCCGTGCGTTTGTCCCGTTTTTTTGCTTCGTGTCCCGTACTCGTCCTGCCGCTCTACGGTCGAACCATCGTTTATCCCCGGCAGGACGTCGAGTATCTGGATTAGTTAGGCGCTCGAAGCTGCTATGGCAGCTGATGGAATCTCCACCTTAGAGGGCCCCGTGCTCCTCGAATATGCAGCGACGTGCAACGATCCCAGCGGCTTTGAGGTCCGCAAACATGTGGGTGAGGCACATGAAAAGACGCGA